AGTACCCCAACATAGCTGTCGGTGCCATAGCGTCCAGCGCTCCCGTGTTGGCTGAAGTGGACTTCAAAGAGTATTTCGGTGTCGTTAGCGACTCATTGGGAACGGAGTGCTCACAGAATATTCGGTAGGGTTTACGGTGAAAGGGATGCAAATGGACTACAATTGGGAATAATCTTTGATTGTATTTTAAGGGAAGCCTCGCAAGCATTGGACGAATTGCTGAAAACACCGGAAGGGGTGAAAAAAGTGCGACAAATGTTCAATCTTTGCGATACCTTCGACGGCACCGACACCTTAAACGTCGCTTATTTTATATACGATTTGTTGGAATCGATAGCCAGTACCGTTCAGTACAATATGGGTATCGATAATATTTGTCGGATAATGAATGACCCGAGTGGTGGCACTCCGTTGCAAAGGTATGCCACACAGCACGGTTATCTAGGCACTAAACGTGATGATTGCCATGATGTTCAGTACACTGACCTGGTTAAGTCCTTAAATGATACGTCTCCGAGAGGCGAAGGAAGTATGTATTATATTGTAACCTTTAATTATGTATTATATTATTATAGTATGTCGTAATTACGTTATTAACTAGAATATAATTAATTATTAAATAATTTATCAGCCTGGTGGACATTTAAATAAGTTCTATATATTTTATATATTTTAATCATATTTTGACAATCAGTGAGACAATGGACTTATCAGACGTGCACTGAATTTGGATACTTTATGTCAACCAATGCGAAGGACTGCCTGTTTGGCCACAACATACCCGTCCACTACTACACCCAACAGTGTATTGATGTGTTTGGACCCCAAATCACAGCCCAAACCATACAGAAAGCGGTGGACACCACTAACTCCTACTACGGGGGTCGTCAGCCCAATGTGACAAACGTGGTGTTCCCTAACGGCTCACTGGATCCGTGGCACGCCCTGAGTGTACTCCACGACCTCAATAACAGCACCAAAGCGGTGGTCATCTCAGGTTCCGGCCATTGCGATGATATGGATTACTGGGACGATGAGATCCAAAGTCTCAAAGATGCCCACAATTTGATTACAAATGAATTGCAAGAATTTCTCAAATAATTGTATTGTTTGATAGCATTATACTTAATAAACATATTTATTACGAGTAACTCACGAGTACTTCTTATTAGAGTCCAAAGTTATACCTATTTTTGAAACCCGAACCCTTAGTGTTTTTCTATAGGAAAGCCTTATTTCGGGAAATCCATGGGAACCTAAAAAACCCTTAAAATATAAAATACAAAATTACGACTATTTCAATGTTTATATTTAAAAAAATAACACTTGATATAATTTTACCTGCTACTTTATTTTTAAAAATATTAATTTAAATTATGAACACATCGGTGACCCTGATAATAAAACATTTTAAACTAAATTAAATATTAATTAAATTAGTTTAACTTTATAAGCTAATTGAATGACATTACTTAAACATTTATATAATAAATTAAATTTCATAATTAGACGTTAATTAATATTTATTAGCCATAAGGGTATAAATAATTTGTATAATAAACATAAAAATGGTTAGTTTTTAAAAACACATAATGTTGGACACGATGGACACAAATGGGAGGACAGCCATAGCATGGATTGATTTGTCGCTGAAGATTAGGACCGGATTTACGGCAAATGAGACACAAGTGTTGAACGGATTGAATGGTTGCGCAAAGTTTGGCGAAATGATGGCAATTATGGGTCCGTCCGGTGCGGGACTCACAGCCCTATTGAGGTGTTTGAATGGTATGAATAATCGCGGCTTAAGTCCAGACTCGCAGATCCGGTTGAGTCGAGACACGAGAATTAAGTCCACTTTCATCGCACACAACGAGAAGGATTTCCTTATAAAGGGTTTGAGTGCCAAACAAAACATGACTTACGCCTCAAAACTCGAGAACAGTGGCCATCGAGACGTCGACCACCAGATGAATGTGTCGACCATTATGTCTGATCTGATGATTGCGGACATTATGGACACGAGGGTTGAGATGTGCAGCGGAGGCGAACAGAAACGACTGGCCATTGCTGTCAAGTTAACGGGTCTTAAGAAACCAAACCTTATTTTATGCGACGAACCGACCACTGGTTTGGACAGTAATATCGCTGAAGTGGTCAGTTGCTATGAATTAATTATACAATTGTATATCAATTATAAGTAAAATGAATTGTATGAATAGGTTTTGCAATCCCTGAAAGGGTTGTCCCAAAAGCACAACATCTCACTCGTGGTGTCCATACATCAGCCAAATTCAGATATTCTGCAAATGTTTGATAAATTGTATGTTTTGGCCAAAAGGGGTTACTGTGTGTATTGGGGAACACCTACCGGACTGATCCGACACTTATCGGAGTGTCACCTCATTTGTACCGCAAATCAGGTTCCGATCGAGACGTTGATCACAATCTCGTCGAAAGGTATTAACGAACAAAAAGTATGCGAATTAAGGGATCAAACGAAACGACAATTTAAGGACTGTTTGGATACTATTGTGAGTCAAACGAAACCACAACTCATTGAACACAAAAACAAATAGTTTGCATTGAAAGACGTGTGGATTCTGATGATGAGATCTCTTATGGAAATCTATTCATACAAATGGAAACTATTATTAATATATCTGTTGACTATGTGTTTGGCGCCGGTATTGACAGCCATATCATTTGACGCCGACATCGGTGAATACAGCTGTTGTTTCACGTATGGCGTGATGGACATGAGGTCGTGTGTGGATCAGTTGATGACAGATAATAAACTCTTGACAAACGGATCTTTACTATTTTCAAGTGTTTTCTTCCTAATAACCACTCAAACGATGTTTTCTATTCAANGAACAGTTTCTTGAGCTCTTCCCGGCCGGCAGTAGTCTTCAGATCCTCCTCCAACTGCTGCGAGGCTTCCCTTCAATAGGCAAACATCAGTGTTAAGGACAAGGCTGTAGTGATTAGATACCGGCGCCACCCTATCATACCTGATGCTGTCGGAGCACTCCTTTCCCAGCGACTGACTAACGACACCCAAGTAGTCCTTGAAATCAACGACTGCCTCGACAGGACCGCTGGACGCTATGGCACCGGCAGCTGTTTTCGGGTACTTCTCCCGGAACCAAGCGGCCAACGCACCGGCATACGAGCCCCCGAACACAATGACCTTGGCATTCTCAATGGACTTCTGTTTGAGCAAATACTGTATGAACTCATCGGCGTCTTTGAGGGCCTGTTCGCTGTTCAGGTGTTTCAGGTTATCGACGGTTAGCTCCGCGAAGGGTTGGGACTCCCCGTAGAACCGGTGCTCCAACTCGACGAGTAGAGCGCCGTACTTCTTGGCGTTGTCCGCCATATTACTGTTGGTCAACCAAGCTGAGCTGGCTGCCCCCTCGCCGCCAAACATGAAAAATACAGGACCACCCGCTTTGTAGTGGGCGTCGTTCGTGAAGTACACCTAATTGGGCCCAGAATTGGCTCATTATGTTGTTATTAAGTGTAAGAATTCGTGTTAACAATTCGAGAGCATTTAACTTTGCTTTTAAAATCCCTTTCCAATATTTTCTAGCACTTCTGTATCTTGTTCTTATTGAAACTTGAGTAGATAGGTAACTTTGGTCTACTTACTGTGGGTATGATAGTACTTGTGCAAGATTTATTTAATCATTGGGGTTTAATTATTGCCCAACTATTATATAATAAGTATAGAATATAGAATTGGCATTTAAGTTTAGTTAAGTATTTAGTTTAATATTTAATTTTAGTTAAGTTAATTAATAATCAATTTGTTTAAATATGTGCAGTAAAATAAATTATATACAGTGTGTTTCACCATGGACCTCCGCCTTTTAATTGCAATATCTCAAAAACTAAATTAGCTAGCAAGGATTCTCGACAGTGCGTTCTCGACTTTTGAAAATCAAGAATCTCTATGTAAATTTCAATGGGAAATTTTCATAGAGATTCTTGATTTTCAAAATTTATTTGTGACTGAACCATATATCGGAGCTGAGAGATCTCGATGCCATATGAAAGTTCATACCTTCCTCTATAAAATTGCTATAGATTGAATTTATCCTGCTCATTTTGTTCATGCTGTAACTCTTGTCTGCAAGAGTGTCCATAGAAATAACATTAATATAAGTCGCACCTGGGGGATCAGTATGTCGAAAAATTTGTTATACTTTCTAGTTTTAGAAACTGTCGAGAATACCTTGCTAGCTAATTTAGTTTTTGAGATATTGTAATTAAAAGGCGGAGGTCCATGGTGAAACACACTGTATAATTAGCAATTATACCTGGTCAAAAGTGCTGTTGTCTTTGGGATCAGCATGGTTGACTTTTTGTTTATAGATACCCGATACGGCGCTTTTAAAAAACTGTCCATCAACGGGAACTGGAGGTCTGACCATTCCGTACTTGTCTACGGGTCGACCCGTGAAAAATTGTCGCCCATTATAAGCCTCACTATTGTATAAGAAATTAATAAATACAATACATATAAAAATATAAGAATTCATTTTTATGGGAATATTTTTACGTAAAAATATTTCCAAATGAATATATTTCTAAAATGTTAACTTGTTTTATAAACTTTTGTGTCCAATGGTATTATATGCGATATACATCAGAAAATAATCTTGTTTTAAGCAATTGTTTAAAAATTATTTCCTATGAGTTAAGCAATTGTATCGATTGATTAGTGTATTAGTGGTCACAACACCTGCAATGTTCGCGAGGGTATGGTTTATTAGATTATCTCTTTACATGTAAATACACACTTTCGCAATCATATAGCATAAGTAATGATTGACTTTTGCATTTCAAAACATATAGATAACTACCGGTAATACTCAGTGTCTTTGTGAAAGTTATACTTTTAATTGTTTGGTAATTGAGAGGTGCATCACAATCAGTAGTTATTGACAATAACTTATTGTTAAGACTATTTTGTATATTTTACACTAACATACAATGACAGACATGAATTTTCTTTTACTTTAATGCTTAAACTAATTAACGCCTAAAACATTTTTATTATCACTTATAATAAGTTACTAATAAATTAATTGTTTGTACACAATTATAGAATATTATATTCATCAAACATATTTTTAATAATTTATCGCCAAATTATACATAGCGTTACATAAGTACCCTGTTCACAAATATATCAAAATAACTTTATTTGAAATATTCGGCCAATTGTTTGGTAATCAAGTCGTGCGCATCCTTTAGACTCTTGGGCTCCGACGGGTTGGCGGCATACATGACCCCGCAGTGGGCGTACCCCTCGATCAGCACGGCTTTGGTGCTGTTGTTGAGGTCCTGGAGTACACTCACTGCGTGCCACGGATCCAGTGAGCCGTTAGGGAACACCACGTTTGTCACATTGGGCTGACGGCCCCCGTAGTAGAAATTGGTGGCCTCGACGGCCTTCTCGATGGTTTGGGCCGTGATTTGCGGACCGAATATATCGGTGCACTGTTTCGTGAAGAACTCGACCGGACGGTTGTGCCCAAACGGACTGTCCTTCAGACTAGTGGTCTGGTAGTACCCAAACTCAGTGCACGTCTGATACGTCCATTGCCTCACTGCACGTAAATGTGTGTAAAATTTTGAGGCATAACTAAGTGCTTGTCTAACTGTCAACCCATTTATTAGGTGTTCCCTATGGTCTTGTGATATAAAACAACCCCTAATTCTTGTGTTATTATTTAAATATATCTTTGATTTATTTGTTATTAAATTCTTATTCATTTCGTTCAACGCTTTCAACAGAGATGTCTTTCCGGCACCGGACGGACCCAACAGTGCCGTCATTGTCCCGAAACTCGTGAAACCATTAATGTCTCTAAGAATTAAGTTTTCTGATGAAAAGAAAGTTTTATTCACTTTTAGTGTTAAGTCAATCCATGCCACACACAACTGTCCCGTAATTATAGCATCCGTTTCTGGACTCAATCCTTCATCAAGTACTTCATCGTTGAGACTAATGTCGTAATCAATGTTATCATAACATATATAACTTGAACGTCCGGTCAACTCATCCATTGTTTGCATTTCAAGCATATTATAATTGATCTGTTTATCTGTTTTTCGCTTACATATTAACAATTTTATGTAATTCATTGCAGTTTAAAATACATTTGGATTGTTAATAACTAGTAATGTTATTATTGACACCAATTTATATGATATATATTGTGCTAAAAGGTATCCGGAATATTCGTACAGAATATCGTCATCATCGATAGGCCTCATGAATAGTATTAACTGTTTCTGACCACCGGTGCAACGATTTAAACCATAAATATTTATTAAAGTCGCGGTTGAATAATATCTTAACGGCGATATAGCGCTGAGCACTTCTATAATATCACCAAGATCTTCTACAAATATTACAAAACCGGTAAATAGGCCATAGATTTGGTTGACTAAAAATCCTGTGACAAAACAAAGCTGCTTGTTACTCATCAGGATTACCAAGATAAATTCTATCGTATCGTAAATGTGAACTAGAATTACGTTGAGACAAATGAACACCCAGATCCTTTTGGGTTCATTCAGCTGCGAACTCATTGTGAAGATTATGACACTGTATATACCACTGGAGAACACATGTCTAATAAATTATGGGTCAATAGGTACGTGCCAGTCGAGTACCAGTCTAAATTAAAAATAATAATAATAAAATTATACATTATCATCGCTTATCATATTTTATATTTAATGTTATAGACATCCAATATTTACTCG